TGGTGATCAGGAGGCTGCGGTGATCAGGGGGCTGCTGTTGCTTGGATCTGCGGTCTGGGAAACGCTCCTCTCTTACCAGCACTGCATGATCTGGGAAACGCTCCTCTCTTATGGGCACTGCATGGTCTGGTCAGTTCCTCAGGATGCCACCTTTAGTCACAGTTTTCCGCAGTCACAAAATCCAAATCTCAAATCTCCCGGCGCCAGCAAACCCGAGGAATTCCTTTCCCCGGTCAGGGGCTGTGTCTGTCCCAAGAGACGCGGCTGCCTGCCATGCGGTCTCCCTCCGACCCTCTGGGCTCAGGTCTGGCAAACTTTCCTGCCCAGATCCCTGGTTTTTAACCTTTCCAGGGGAGCTCTGCCCTTCCCGGCTGCAAACCGTCTCACCAGCTGAGTAATTTCGCCAATTCGGGGTGGGTGTTATTAGTTTCAGCTGCTTACTCCATTTGCTCCGGGACAAGACCTGCGATCCATCACTTTTTACTCTGTTTTTCCAAATGTAAATTTAGAGCAGGAATAGAGAATAATTTGAGGTTGCTTTATTGGGCCAAGAAAGGGAAAGGGACAGGTCCTCTATATGTCAGTGATTGTTAGCAGAAATCTGTAATTAAATTGCTACTCTAATGTGTTCCTTCTGTCTGAGTTGGGGCCAATAGGAAGAGTCTATTGTAGCAGAAAGATTCTGAAGCTGGCCTCTAAGAGTAGCTTTTTATGATACATGTTTAAGGGCTGACCGCATTAAATTTGAGGAACTTCGTGCAAAGTCAAAATTAGAGGTTTGATTATATCTAATGCCAATATAGAGATGCATTGTCCCCGAAAGAAAATGTATAAGCTCTGCAGATATTACATGCTCATGTTCAGCCATTACCACTCCATGGTCCAGCCCATATCTTAGGAAATGAAGGGATATCATTCTTTTTTTTCTCCTCCTCTTTCCTCCTGCATTAAGGTGAGGGATTAGGCTGCATAGCCTGACTTTTATATTCTGTGGGTCCATTTTGTGGTAGTTTCATAAGCATATTGACATACCAGATATCAGGACTATAGATGGAAGATTTGTTGAAGGCTCTGCAAGTCACAGGGAGCCAGGATACATCTTTTTCTTCCGGAAATTCAAACCTGTTTTTTTTTTTTCTAGATTTGAAATCAATTCTCAGATATTCCAGCCGTCTTTGGAAACTCATATCCCTAAACCCACTGAGTTATGAATAATTACTGTGCAAAAATGTTTTGAAGGAATCTGCTCCACATTTTACCATTGTCTTGGCCATAAGACCAGATACTGTCACGGTAAGGAGATCTGTATGACTGAGCATGGTGAGAGCTGGCTTACAAGTCCTTGAATAGCACTGAGAGAAAAACTGTGAAATTCCTGAGTTCAAGAAGTAAAACTTGAGCAAGGAGGTGGTCTGGGCATTTCAAAGCAGCTGATGCCACTAGAAAGCAAGACACGATTCACCTTCTCCTGCATTTGCACTTTATTTAGATATTTGTATATGACAAGTAGGAAATTAGACCAACATGAGGGCACAGCGGAAGAGCAGCGCCTCCTCTGGATGGACAGAGAAGAAAGACGACAGCAGGAACAAACAAGAAGAAAACTTAAGTCTCCCTAAACTGTGAAGAGGTCAGAGATACATTTAAAATATGAAGAGAAATCTGTGTGCAATGTTTTGTTTGTAAATCATTTTAGCTGTCTGTCATACTTGTTGAAGTTATTTAAGTCTAATTAATTTACCCACATTAATCTTTCTTTTTTAAAAAAATATATATTTTATTGATTTTTTACAGAGCGAAAGGGAGAGAGATAGAGAGTTAGAAACATTGATGAGAGAGAAACATCGATCCAGCTGCCTCCTGCACACCTACTGGGGATGTGCCCGCAACCAAGGTACATGCCCTTGACCGGAATCAAACCTGAGACTTTTTAGTCTGCAGGCTGACACTCTATCCACTGAGCCAAACTGGTTAGGGCACATTAATCTTTCTTTACAGCTATTATATACAAGTTGTTACATTAATAACGAGAATGACACCACTAACTATATGTATGAGTTAATCATCTGCTCTGAAAGAGATGATTGTGGAAGTTATTAGACAACATTTAACTCCCTGATTGCTCTCAAATGCTAGTAAAGGTGAATTGGGTGTTTTAAGTTTAGCTTTAGTAAAAGATAACCATGCCAAAAACAACCATGCCTGCCTTCCAAGTTAGGAGTGCAGGAAGGAGAGAAGCCCATTCGAAAGCATGTATGACTTTCCTTACACTTGACCTGGTTTCTGTTAGGCTCTTGACTTGTACTAATTTGCTTGTTGGTGGTGGACAAAATACAAGGGGTTACTGTAAACACTAATCACAGCAACACTGTGCTCTCCAGGAATGGAAGACAAAGGAGATGCTGCTTCTGACAGAGACTGTAGAAGGTGTTTGCAGAGAAGCTGCAATAAAGGAATAATGGAGCAGAAGCAGAGGAGAGAGTGACAAGCAGGTAGAGTTAACTTTCACCTCTAATCTGGGCTGTTAGAGGAGAAGCTTTTCCTAGTTTAGATTTTCAAAAGTAACTTATACAAGAGGATAGTGTATCAGCTTCCTCAAATGATATGCATTACACAAAACTGAAAGTTATAGACATGTTTGCTATATTTTGGCCATATTATATTCTGACTAATATAAAAAGTACTGCCCTATTATTTGAGATAACTGCTTTTGACTTTATCTCACACCATAAACTATACTTATAATTTCCATAGAAAAATATAACTGATTTTTTCTTAGAACCAGAATTTCTTAGAAAATGTTCTCATTTCATCACTAATTAATTTATGAGTAAGTACTTTTAATTTTAGATAATATATAATATTTTATGATTTAGTCACAATTTTATTAATATTCAAAATTCAAGTATGTATGACAATATTTTCATTATACTTTTGTCTCATGTGCATTTTCATTTGTATTATCAGGAACCCACTGCTCAGATGCCGAGTTCAGCTCATTCCAACTTATTTTAATTATTATTTTCTAATATTCAAATTTTCACCAGTTTTTTTGGGGTGGGCATTTTCTCCAAGTTGGCCTTAATTTATTTATTCATTTTTCTTTCAGATGCCTCTGACAATATCACTGTTTTTGGAGAGCCACAGAATGCACCAGGTTTCCCCTTCATTTTTACTTGATGCCAATTTCTCTTCCATGAGTCCTAGCCAACCTTAGTGGCAACCAGTACAATGGATAAACTCTGGCCCTGGGAATGCCCATTAGACGTGACCACTGATGGGAGGCATGGTGACACCACAGGCTGCTTAAGGTGTGTTATTGGCAGAGCTATTTCAAGTACTGACATTTCCAATGGAGTTATTCTACGTCTTTTTAACATCATGTTTTACTACCAAGAACCTCTGAATTCATTTGTGTGTTTATTAATATTTTTATAACTTTTCTTTCAGATTTGACATTCCATGTATTTTTACTCCAAATGATGGGCTTAAATTAGAGTTACAAAAATCTCTAAAAGGTTTTTGCAATTGTATATTTGTCAAAGTAAGTCTGTTTTTGAACTCTTTTTTTGTGCTCCATGAGTTGTTTAATTTACTGTCTGACTATTGTATGTTTAATAATTTTTAAATAAGTAGTATTAGCCTTTCAAGTTTTGTCTTCCTTTTTGAAGTTGTTTTGACTAAACTAAGCCCCTTAACATATTCATATACATTCTAGAATTAGCTCATCAATTTCTACCAAGAAATCTTGCTGGGATGTTGATTGGCATTATGTTGACTCCATAACTCAGTTTGGGAACAATCAATTCTTTTTTTTATTTTATTTTATTTTATTTTTTTTATTAAATCTTTATTGTTCAGGTTACATTTGTTCCTCTTTTTATTTTTCCCCCATAACTCCCCTCCTCCCAGTTCCCGCCCCACCCTCCGCCCTCACTCCCCACCCACTGTCCTCATCCATAGGTGCACGATTTTTGTCCAGTCTCTTCCCGCATCTCCCATTTCCCTTTCCCCCCCAAGAATAGTCAGTCCATTCCCTTTCTATGTCCCTGATTCATTATAATCACCAGTTCATTCTGTACATCAGATTATTTATTCACTTGATTCTTAGATTCACTTGTTGATAGATGCATGTTTGTTGTTCACAATTTGTATCTTTACCTTTTTCTTCTTCCTCCTCTTAAAGGATACCTTTCAGCATTTCATATAATACTGGTTTAGTGGTGATGAACTCCTTTAGCTTTTCCTTATCTGTGAAGCTCTTTATCTGACCTTCAATTCTGAATGATAGCTTTGCTGGATAAAGTAATCTTGGTTGTAGGTTCTTGCTATTCATCACTTTGAATATTTCTTGCCACTCCCTTCTGGCCTGCAAAGTTTCTGTTGAGAAATCAGCTGACAGTCGTATGGGTATTCCCTTGTAGGTAATTGAGTCTCTTTCTCTTGCTGCTTTTAAGATTCTCTCTTTGTCTTTTGCTCTTGGCATTTTAATTATGATGTGTCTTGGTGTGGTCCTCTTTGGATTCCTTTTGTTTGGGGTTCTCTGCGCTTCTTGGACCTGTAAGTCCATTTCTTTCACCAGGTGGGGGAAGTTTTCTGCCATTATTTCTTCAAATAGGTTTTCAATATCTTGCTGTCTCTCATCTTCTGGCACCCCTATGATTCTGATGTTTGTACGCTTGAAGCTGTCCCAGAGGCTCCTTACACTATCTTCATATTTTCGGATTCTTTTTTCATTTTGCTTTTCCGGTTGGGTGTTTTTTGCTTCTTCGCATTTCAAATCTTTGACTTGATTCTTGCGCTCCTCTGGTCTGCTATTGGGTGTAATATTCTTTATTTCAGAGCGTGTATGCTTAATTTCTAGTTTCTTTATCATAGCATCGAGGGTCTCATTAGTTTTCGTGAAGCTCTCCAAAAGTTTATTGCAAGCCCTCAAAATTGCGTTTTTTAGCTCTATATCCTCCATTTCTGTCATGTTTTTTTGTCTCCGCATTTTTTATGCTTTCTTGGTGCACCCCCTAGTGGTCTTTGTGCGCAGTCTTGTTCTAGTTAAGCCTTGATTGTTGTAGTTAAAACTAGAGGGATTTGACCACCAGGCCGACTGGCTGTGTGAATCAGCTGTGTCTGCCGCGGAAAACTTCTGTCCTCTGGGGAGGTGCTAATCTAGCCTTTGCCTGAGGCGATCCGGCAAATGGCTCTGCGCAGGGCTTGGGCGGGGCGGGCTCAACAGGGCGGGCGGAGGGAGCGGTTATAGC